GATAAGGTATGCTGCTGGGCCCCCTCCTCTCTCGTGCAGCTGTCGGGCTCTCGGTCCATGACCAAGTGCCCAACTTTTCAAAGGGAGTAACACTAAAGTGACTATCAGTCATTTTGGTGTCATCTTCGCTGACGGTGACACCTAGTGGGGGCCGCACCCCTCTTTTGACACCATTGGGTTAAAGCCTTATTGGCTTAAAATTGTCCCAACTTTTGATGCTCACTAATATCTATTTTGATATCAAGAAGATGAGATATAAGATGCTTTTGTACAATAGTCGCATCATTATATGAATGTGGTCCACTGCACCCTGCACCAGATATCTTGGATGGTGGCTTGAGGCAGGTGAGATTTTATTTGCTGCAGTCTCTTTATTAAACCCCCTAGTAATCCATCAGTTTTTGTCCTTAATTACCTAAAAAAAGTCTAAAAAGGGATCTGTTTGGTGTGCAAAGTGAAGGTGAGTCTAGTTACTGTCATTGTCACATTAAGAGTCCCAATAAACTGTGTTATCTGTTCTCCATAACTTCAGGACATCATCAATGTACCGGAACCACAAAGCAGCATAGCCCCGGGACATTGCAACAGTGCTACCCATCTACACTATCTGCTAGATTTAACCATCACCAGGGTTTGTCATATCTGTTGTAGATCAAGGTGCTTTAGTTACCAGACCCACTCCTAGTAGGTTGATAGGACAAAACAGCGGATGTTTCTTATGTGGATGAGTAATAGATGCATGTACCAGGTTTCAAGTCTTAGCCAATTTGAATGCCAAAATAGTGGTAAAGCTGACATGCCCACGCTTGTTCTTCAGGATTGCTCAGCATATCTGCCCTTTACAGATATGACACCTTAAACAGTCAACACGGTCGTCTTTTTCACACATTGTAGGAGCAGCCATGAATTGTTTTAGGATCAAGCTCTTAAAAATGAGATGTGTCCCTGGAGACAGCAATTTTCTCCCATAAAACAGAATCGGATTTTCTAGTCCAGCCTATATATGCTGCTCCCTCTACACACTAATTGCTGCATATCTTTCAAAGGAACCGTGTACTTTCAAGTCTGGATTACCCTTTTACACATTGATGGGACCCCAGAGACATCTGTAGGATCAACAATAGGATTTTTATAGGAATTCCTTCATCTTGGCCCAGGCTCTCTTGGTTTTGAGATGTGGAAATAGGGCTTGATGTAACCATTTCAAAGAAACCACACATGCCTCAATATTTGGCAGAGGTCACTTCATGGGAACGCATTCAGTCACAGCTGGCAGCCTGCAGTATGTATACAAGTGTAACCAGTAGAAATGTATGGGGACTCTGGATTAGAAACCCGCTGAGAGAAAGCATTGGAGGAGTGCCTGCAAAAATAATTATTAGAAGCAATCCTGGACATGGCTGGTCAATGGATAGCACAGCTGCTCTGCAGCTCTGGGATCCTAAATCTGATCTTACTAGGACACTTCAAGTATTGAGAATGTATACTCTCTCCATGTTTGTGTGTGTTGGCTTCTGGTATGATGGGTTTGACCCACAGTTTATGAGCAAAATTGTACGGCTAGTTCTACCCAAGAAATTTAGGTAGATGTTGTAGGTGATGAGATCTGTCATAAATCTGCATTCAGGGACAATCATCTATCCCAAACCACATGTAATTGTACCATGTACGATTACATGCGGACTGGTGCTCACAGATGTGGCCACAAGGAACCTGGGATTCCTGCA